TAAATTCCAGCTATCAGCTGGAGTTTAGTCAGGAGCCTGACTGGTAAAATTCGTCAGTGCAGACCTTTTTGTGCCATCTAGTAACCAATAAGAAGAGAGAACACAAACCGAGTATTGGAAAGCATAGGACTGCTTTTAACCCGGTGATCTCATCAAGAGCTGATTATTCATCCTTCCTCCCTGTGCGTTGTAAAAACAAGCAGAGCAATTGACAGGGGTACACAGCATAAAATGTAATTTACCCTGGGTTTTCCTCCAATTAACAGCAGACAATACTTGCAAAATATAACAGGTTGTCTGAGCAAGCTTGTAGCTGCTTTTGCCTATATTTTATGGGTATACATAAAAGCCTCCATTCCTGTCTGGAGATTTCTGATTGTGACTCTGTGCCGCCAAGTGTATCTGATTTCTAATTCTTTGTGACCTGTTTTTATGTATGTTTTCCTATGCAGTCAAATTATAATTAAATATGTCTCATATAATATGATAATATGTATTACATATAAATATAAAATATAATTAAAATTTTTCATGTAGTTGAATTATAATACATAATATATTTAGTTGATTCGAGTGTTGTGCAAAGAAATGGTTTGTTTGTAGAAAGAAATGTAGATTTGAAACTCACTTCCAAATAGACCTAACTGTAATATATTAGCCCATAGTGTCTTAATGATAAAGACATGAATACAGTTTAATTGAAATCAAGAAAATGAATATATTTATATTGTTAACATTTGGTTTTGCCTGTTTTAAAGCCTCCTAGGTGTTTGCATACACTCCTATGCACAAAGAGGCCTTAATATTTTTGTTTCTCACCTGCAATTATTATAAAGTATCCTCTAAATATTAATTTAATGCATTTACATTAAATATGTTCTAGATTCCAAATGCAAAAATTTCTCTCCAAAGTACATAATTACACATAAATCTGAAGTATATTTTTCAATCTTAAATAAAAAAAAAGATTGCTTTAATAAAATAGTATATCCATCAATTAGAAATCATCTCTTGGTAGAAGAGTGCCTTACTTGGCAATCTAACCTGAAATAATTCTATAATTCTTTGTCAACTAGTTCAGTACTGTAAATGACCACTTTAATAAGGGTTTGACTTCATTTCTTCTTCCACTATGATTATTGGGATATTTTGGCACTTGATATACTACAAGAATTATGCACTTAGTTCTATTTGTTGGAATTCTATTAGGGAATATGTCCTTACATATTGATACAATGCTGTTTTAATGCAGATATTCATTAAAAGTAACAGATTTGAGATAGGTTTTCTTCTTGGACTGAAATGTATCATTCTAGCCCAGCTGGCCATGCATACTTAGAAAACATTCCTTTACCAAATTTCATTAATTTCCTGTAACTGAACAATATCAGCACAACTGATTTATAAAACTAGTCTTCTAAAAATGTCTTGTAGGTTATCAAATTTCCCAATGGGCATGTTGCTGACTGAGTGCTACCTGACTGTCTTAGGATACAATGCAACCATAAGGGTAAAAAAAATATAAGATAATGGGTATAAATCACAGACCACACTGCTAACCACTTTAAAGATCGTTGTATTCAACTTACACACCAAATATTATATGGTCCTCTATAAACCCCAAAATTTCATTATCTTTTTTGAATAATAAATGATAATCTCAGACAACGTCTGGGTTCTTGCTCTCATCCTTATGCATATAATGTAATCAGAGCAGCCTGAAAGAAAATCCATGACCATCAACAAAAAACTGGATAGAAAATTGTTGGTACATTTAATCAACAGAGTGTGTGACAACGGTAACAAAAAATCATTACATCTTTAAATTTCCAGGCAAATGAATGAAACAAGAAAAATCCACGGTGAGTGAGTAACCCATACCACAATGATGATGATGGTATGTACCCAATCATAAAGAAACAGAAACTATAAAGCAAAACATTGGGAACCTATAACTCCAGAGAAGCTAAATTATAAGGGAAACATTAAGGGAAATAAACATGCATCCCATTGAGAAGGTTAAAAATTAAGATCTCCTGAGTATATTAGGAAAGTATGTGTGCAGGAAGAAGGTATTGCAGAAGGGGGGGAGGAGAGGAAAAGAGAGGGGAGGAGAACTTAAAGGCACAGGATTTTCAAGAATGGTGATGGGAAGACTCAGAGAGGAAGGAAAAGGTATCTTGATTGAGAAGGGAACTATTATGGGATTAGTAGAAACATGGAATAGGAGAAATTCTCAAGAATCCACAAGGGATGACACCAGTGAAGACCCTAAACAATAGTGGAGAGTGTGGTTGAACAGCCCTTGACTAGTAGTCAGATTGATGACTATCTAAAATATCATCATATAATCGTCAACCAGCAGTAGGTGGAAGCAGATGCAGAGATCCACATTCAAGAACAGGGATAAGCACCCAAAGCAAACTTGAAGTTTGGAGGAGTGAGAATACATGCAAGAAGACCAAGGCTGTAATGGGAATACACACTGGGACAGCTTACCTTAGCTAATGGGATCCAAACAACTCTGGCATGACAGTGAGAGAACCAACATAGTACCAAGTAGGCACTCCAAATATGGGTGACAGTTGTTTAGCTGGAACAAACTGTGAGCCATTGTCAGTGGGATAACATTAAACCCTTGTGTTTGTTCTGGCCTTACACAATCCATTCTCTGGAAGGCTATCTAGATACAGTGTAGCTACCAAGGTTTTTCCCTTCTCCTGGCGATTCACAGGGCCGTGTGACCTCCGGCTCTCTGGAGACTCTGCACTAGCTCTGGCTTGAGGAGATAACCTAGCAAGAACCTGGTTCTCTTTGTTATGGTGATTCCACTTGTATTCAAGGTCTTAGCAGTGGGCCTATAGCCTGCCTCCCCTAGCTGACCCTGCCCGAGGGGCTGGGAAGCTTTAATCTTCTCCTCCTGCTTCTGGTTGGGAGGAGGCCTTGCATTTTCGATCCTTCTAGCCCACTGATATAAATACACGACTTGAGTTTAATAAAGTGGCCATTTACTCTGGTAAATGAGCAAAGGTCTCTTTTGTGTGTGTGTCTCTTTTCCAACCCTCAGGACAATCGTCCATTCTCGTGGGCTCGAGTTCGGGAAAGCGCGCAGCCTGAACCGGGTGTGGGTATCCATTGAGAAGTGCAGACTCTTACAATACAGTGGGAACAAAATAAGCATAAAATAAAAAAATGAAGCGATAGTATACTCACATGAAATAAAATATATACTTAATAAGATTGTCTGTGTTATTGAAGAGTTCTTTTCTGTACCAGGAGAAACAAATGTACAGCAAAGGAAAACATTTACATGTGACATATTGTTAGTTAAATGTGATTTTGCTTTTGAGTGCAAAGTGGAAACGGAAAAAATGAGTACAGTAATTTTAATTTTTAAGAGTTTTTTTTATCTCATGTGAAATGATTAAAGTTACATAGTTTTTACTCATTGTAGTTGTGTTACTATGAATATTTCATGTCATAGAATGGTAGGGGAAGACTGACTACAAAAATGGGCCTGTTGATCAAAATTATATTTTAAGACAATTTTAAATCACTGCCGAGAATGTGTTAAGATATTAAGAATTTGCTGGTCAGGATCATATTTTCCTGTTTGTGTGGTTGCTCGTTAGATTCCAAACATGAACATTCAGGATGAAATAACTACTCAGCATGTGAAAAATGTAAGGATTAACCTTAGATAATGTAGACTAAATATACATATAAATTAATATATACCAACCTTTTCCCATGAGCTTGCTTCTTTTCTCTGTAGGTTTCCAGCTCATGATCTTGAAGTTCCCTTGCTCATACAATCTCACCTCATTTGGCATTTAGGTGTCTCCTCAGACCATTGAAAATTACTTCTCCTAACCTAGCATCAGTACTATATTCAAATGTCACAAAATTCACTGTGAGCAAGATCCATTCATGTATTGGTCCCGACCTGACTTTTAAAGGTCCAAGAATCTTTTTGCATTCGATGTGGGCATTTTCAAAAGGTAGACAAAAGGTAGATGATCAATCAGTACACATCTAGCTTCTCGGTTGTTACTCCTATTTGTGCAGCCTTGGTTAGTCTTTGTAAAAAGTTACTAAAGTGTTCACTCTTGCCCTGCGTAACCCTGGTATATGATTCAACTCTTTCATAGTTACTGAATCCTGTCCCTAATAAATAGTGAGTTCAAGAGATCACTCTAACCTATAGGTTGCCAATTATGTTATTTAACTGCGATAGGATATATTATACCAGATGGTTTCACAGATGAGATAACTGGGTAGGCAGGTAAACATCTAGGTATTCATGACTGACTTTGGCCCACACAGGTGAGTTTAAATCCTGTTCATCTACCTTTTATCCCTGCCTATCTGTTCCTAAAATTTCCTCAATTTTTTTCAAATGTTTTACCACTGACTCTTGTAAAGTCTGAATCTCTGGTCCTGTTTGCTGTCCTAGTGCCCTCATTGATTCATGTAGTTACTGTTCTTATTCTTCATACATTACTCTAAGGTATGAAATCTTTTTAATGTCTCATCCTTGGATATTATTTGGATGGAGTGCATATTGCCTTCCTAGAGAGATAGTCTACCTGATACCTATCATATCTTTTCAACAGATTCTGATTATTAAGTTTAACAGTATGAATTCTTTCAGATAATTTCTCAGGAATCTTAAACATAGATTGAATTTTCTCAGTTAAATTTATATTATCCCTTTCAATAATATTAATATATTCACTTATGTCTTTATTATTAGTCAGAAAAGACAATCATTTCTACAAATGACTCATTCTTAGCTCTGTTATCAAACCATTTTATTAGAGATATAATCTAAAAAAACAAAGCTACTTCTCAAAACCAAATAAATAGATGTATAACTAAACTCACATAAGCCTTCCAAATACCATCCATAGTGTAAGCAAAATGGTTATTAAATTCCTGAATAGTAATATTATCTGTAATCATATAACTTTAAAATTTTATACATTACTTACCTTTTCTAGGCAGTTACAGTGAATTGGAGTGGGTATAATAATTTTTCTTGGCCAATAGCTGTCAGGGGTTGCAGCCAGCTTTCAGACAGACTGAGAAACCATGGTTCCTGGTGCTCCTTCAGAGCTTCTTTGGAATTGATGATTCATTTCTCTCTCCTATCTAAATGTGTGCTGTGGCAGACACAAGAGTGTAAGTGAATGACAGCAAAAAATGTTATTTAGCTTAAGCACTTACTCTGATTATCAAAAGAAAATACCATCCTATAGAAAGTAGGAGAGGATCCTAGATCCAGCTAGTTATTCGTCTGTCATGGCTATTTATATGAAAGCAGCACACTCTGCCTGCTATGGTTGATTGTGATTTTGTGATCCCAGTTGCCTTTTGTTGGTATGACAATCAGAAATCACATGCCAGATTCCATAACCGAACTGATTATGTAATATGACACTTGAAATTTTCAATGAGATCCAGGTTGCTATGTGAGACTATAGCCCAATATAGGCATCATTATCAGAAAAATTTCTGATTATGTAGATCATCAGTAAATCTATGAATTTTGTCAGGTATTCATTTCCAAAGTTAATCTTCCTTGCATTTAATGCAGAACCAAGATTGAGCAAGAAATTGCAGATAAAAATCCTGAAGCAGTGGCTTTACAAACACAAATACATTTCCTCTACTACAAACAGGGGCAGGTGACTCTTAGCATAAAAACAGAAAATCCCACGAATTTTTTTTTCTTTTCATACATTTCTATTGCCTCTGTCCCCTGCAGGTCTCTGTGACAGAATTCCTTGTCTAGGGCTGCTTATAGCCAAGCTTTGTCTAAATCCTGCTAACAGCTGGATTTTAGCAAGCAGGCTGACTAACAAAATGCTACAGTGCCGACATTCTTCTTTGATCTGATTGCCTCCTATTGGGGGAGTACATACATTCATGTATAATTATATTAGGAACCAATAAGGACAGACATCACAAACCAAGGTCTAGAAAGCACAGGTCTGAATTTTACATGGAGATATCCACCAGAGCTGCCAATTCTTCTGTGTCTCCCTCCACCCTGAGAGTTGTAAAATAAGTAGTGTAATTGAATGTGGAACACACAAGAAAATAATTTTTAACCTGGGAACTGCCTTCAGTCATCAGTAGAGAAATCTGTATAATACCAAATGTTGCTTGAGTGAATTTCAGGCTGATTTTGCCTAGATTCAAGCTGTACACATGAAAGCATCCATTCCTGTTTGAACTTTTCTGATTGTAACTCTGGGCTTCCAAGTACATCTCATTGCTGATCATTTTTATTTTTTTGGCAATTCTGTTTATTTTTGTGTAGCTGAATTATAATTATTAAACACTATATGCATGATACATGTAACATATATTACATTTACCTACAATTTATAATTATATTTTCATTTAGTTGAATATATTTTAATTTACTAAATCATACATTAAAATGATACAATAGATTTCAAGCCCTCTTCCAAATAGGCCATAGTTGAATATAGTAAATCAGAGAAAACAAAAGTTAAAGAAATAAAATAAGATCAAATGTCATTAACCTTTTTTATATGTATTCATGTTATCTACATTTAAGTTTGTCTGTTTAAAAGGGTTTATGTCCAATTTCACACTTATATTTATATTGCTCTTTTTGTTTTTCTTTCTCTGATGCAATTCCTATCCATACAATATATTCTTTATGTTAATATACAAGTATTTTTGGGAAAATTTCAACACATCTCCAATTATAAAACTACTCTCTAATTTCCAAAAACACTATTACTTCTGAAGTTATATTCTTTTTCTCTCTTTAATTAAAAACTGAGCTCATTTATGGCAGTTGTCTGTCAATGAATATGAATATACCTATTGGAACATTAGTAGCTAATTTGGGCAAATGTATTTAAAAGATATTTAATATTTCTCACAGTTAACTCATTAAATCAAATAACCATTCTAAGAAGGATCAGACTTTGTTAGTACTGCCATTAGGTTTATTGGGATTTCTGAGTTCTTGTTCTATCATTTGGAATTGATGAGTTCACATGTGCTTATATTGAAGAATCCAGAGAAATGAAGCTGTACCAGCTTGTCTAAAGATCAGAGAGATCAGACCTATTTTTGCTCCTTCAAGGGTTTAAGCTAGGATACTTTGACCTAAGGTTTGGATATAGGACATTTTGCCAAAGTAAAAGAGTATTTTGCCCTAGGGTGTGGTTACTTCCTGTTTGGAGAGGTGTAGATAAAATTACTTTGTTTGGTCATTTTATCATGGAAAGGAAGTCTGTCTTCCCCTTTTATTCAATTGTACATAAGAACTTTGATTAATAAACTTGAGACAGACAACAGTGTTCACTGGATGCTCGTCAAAATCTGTAATTTTCTCTTCTAAATTACTGTCTTAATTCTAATCCCTTCTCTAAGTATGGACAAACAGGTTGGTTGAGATCCTGAGTGATGACTTCACAGAAGTGAAGCTTGGGCATGGAGGTAAAACATGAGGAACACTGCAAATCAATATACCACAGGTGTTAAGAAAGGAGTAAATGCTTGGGAAAAAGTTAATGTGAACATGGGTTGAATAACATAGGAGTATAATTTTAAATAAATTTGTAAATATGGGGCAAAATATCAGTAGCCAAATGACTATGCAATTGCTCAAGTATATCATAAAATCTAGAGGATCTACAGTGTAACAGAGGCAAGAACAGAAATTTAGAATGTGTAAATCTGCCTTTGATTTCTCAAGCATGGTACCTTGGAAGATCAAAAATTGAGGTGAAAATCCAAGACCATTACAAGAATATTTGAACCTGTCATATTCAAGAAGTAATCTTTTCATTTGGGCGGGCTTATAAGGGATAGTTTGGATTTGCACCATGAACAGCAAAAGGTAGGTCCCCCTGCAATGGTTAGAAATGAGACAAGACACTCCTCTCTGCCAGAAGAGCCTTTAGATGAAGAACATTTATAGTGTCGTGGGATTATGATCAGCCGGAGGCTAGTGAGCTATAGGAGGAAGCCACTAAGTACAGCAATGAGTAGTTTTCAAATTCTTTGCTATTAGTGAGTAATGTTCAGAAGTAAAAGCTTACGGAGAAATGTAGCAGAAGGTAAAAGGCTGGATGGATTTGAAAATGTTACCTTAACTGTAGTAGGAAACACTGTACACCTCTCTTATCAGAAAAGAAATCCTCTTCCTACAGAGTGGCTGATTTAGATCCACCTATGGTTCAGAGATATCCTGGAGTAGTGCAAACTCTCAGAATTCATTGAGTATCTCTCAAGCAAGCAGGTTTCAGAGAAGGTACAAGCTGCGGGATAGAAGTACAAAGTTTCAAATGTTGTTAGCAATAGAGCAAAGGGATATGCAGGCTAAATAATAGATTATTTGCCCTGAACCCATTCAAACAACTCAAAGACTTAAAAGTAACCTGAGCTCAGTATGGTCCAAATGCTATTTATGTGCAAATGATGCTAGAGTATAAGATTTTAGAAGCCTTACTCCCTGAGAACTGGAAACAAGTGAACAAACTTACTTGTCAAAAGGAGACTATCTGTTGTTGAAAAACAACATACAGAACACTGTCACGTCACAGATGAGAGAAATCAGGACCAACAAATTCGCTTTTCTTCTGATATACTTATCAGTGAGGGCCTTCGTAGACAAAGAGAACAATGATTAAATTTTGAGATAGTAGCATATGCCCATATTAATTCAGCTGCCAAGAATGCCTAGAAGAAACCCTGTCTTTTGGATAGCAGACTGAAGACTTATATAAATTAAGGCAAGGACCTGATGATTTGTTTTAGGATGATCCAGTATTCAACCAGATTAATTGGTGACACAGTAAGCTGAACTTTTGAGAGTTAAGCATCTAGCCTATGATAGTATTTTTGCAGTATCTAAGTCTCCTTTGAGACGTTTTAGATAAAAGCTGACATCTCTGATTGTATTCAGTATCTTCAGATATTGACACTGGTATAGCCAGCAGACAGCTATGACATCTTCTTTACAGAGAAAAACAGTGAAACACATTTTTCTTATTTATTTATTTATTTTATCTATCATTTTATAAAATCCCTTTCATGGTTAGTTTTAACTCCCTGTATGACATTCACTGTTTTAATTTTAATTTAATTAATATTTTTTATTATTTCTCCAACCTGAGTCAGCTTCCATACCACCATATGGCTCACTTAGGTTCAGGTCTTACTCTGCTCCTCTACAGTATTCTCACAATATAAGGTACGATTCTCATGGACACCAGCAAAACTTGGCATAACAATTTGCCATAAGATCAGAAACTTACTCCTATATTTAGGCAGGGAAATGCAATCCTACATGAGGACCATGTTTCAAAGTATCCGCCAATGCTGCAGCGACAAGTGTTTGTTTAATTTTCTTTAGATACCCATTCCTATAGTTTGCCGTTTATATTATTTGACTACCTTAGAGTATTTTGTACCAGATGGCTTGTCAGAGGAGATAACCAGATACACAGTTAATACTCAAGGCAAGTCATCCCTGAATTTGACCCACACTGGTGTGTCTAAGTCCTCTTACTGTACCTTCTCTCCCTGCCCATCAGTTCTACTAATTTCTTCTATAGTTTCAAAAAATTTTAGCATTGACTTTTGTAAAGTCTGAATCTCTAGTCCTCCATTTTGTTCTAGTCCACTCATTGATTACTGGTTTTGTACCAATAAACATATCAGAACCTTTATTCTAACTGTTTTCACTATATCATTGTCAGGAAGAAAATTTTGCCAAATTTGTCCTTTAGCCTACTCCAAATGGTTAAGGAGATAGTGGTAACAGAAACAGAAACTTAATCTCCACCTTCTTTTAACAAATAAAATTTCTAACACTGTCCTAAATATTAAACTCTAAACCCAAAGGAAACAATAGCTCTAATTTCCAGAAAAAAAAATAGCATGATTTTATAACAATGCTACCCAATTCCACAACTGCTCACATATCTGACAACTTATAATGTTTGGTCAGATACTAGGTGATAAATCAAAAAGCTCGCTACTATTCTTGGCGTAGGATATATTTCATGCAGTGTCAAGACAGAATTTCATGTGCAAGGAACAGAATATCTGTTGAAAAACCAGTGTCTTCTAATAAAGGTAGGGTAATAAAAAGCAAAATTTTAGAAATCTGAAAATCGAATTCAAATTAAATGAAAGCAAAGAAACAACAAAAAATGTTTAGCATAATGACATTCCATATTTAAATGTTAACAGAAATGGAAAACTTCCTAACTTTAACACAATTAGAAGAAAAGCCACTGATAAATATTGAAGGCTAAGATAGAAAGGAACATTTTCAATTGCACAGTAAAATTGATAGGATTTTTGTTTTAGAAAAGGTCAATGCAAAATTGGTTATATATAATCACAACACTGTATATTCATTGCAAAATAAGGATGTATACAATTGTAGCAATAAAATAAAATATAATAATTTTAATATTCAGTAGGATTTATTTTGATATTTTTTAGTATAGATTAATGAATGGATCAGAAATGTGCGTGAAATAACAAATACAGTTTCATGTACACAATTCTAAAATATGTTAAGAAATTGTACACATACATGTATAAATATATACAAATATAATTATGCAAAGTCAATCTCATTCTTATACTCATACATTAAATTATATAGAGATGTGAACATAATTGAGATGCTTTATATTATATATGGAGAGATATTATAAAGCTGAACTCCTTATACTATGAGGGACACCAGTCTTTCCTCACTCAGTTCTAAGTAGTTTGTTATTTCACTTGTTTATTGGCCAAATCATGACTTTAATTGCAAAACTGGACATTCACAGACCATTTCAAATATAGGCTAACAGTTGCCAATACAGTGGAAAGAACCTTTTTGGAAGTTCTTACATACTTTCATCGTCATAGAATGGAAATATGTCTGCTAATATTTAGAATTTATTTGGATTGACAACTTGTGCTATAATTGTAGATTAATCCTCAAACTAACATAACCAAAATGCTTCAATCTCATTAGGTTCATAGCTGAAAAGAGAAAATAGTAAGAAGTCTTCAGATATATTTTGACATAGTGGCCAAAAAGTCAGGGGAAAAATCAAGTAAATATTGATATTATGACGTGATGGAAGGTATAACATACACTGACTTTCTGGCTAAGAATCTAATAATAATAATAATGACAGACTTCCATAAAAATAATTGCTTCAATTCTTCCATAGTAAAATAGAAAGAAAACCCTGAGTCTTAATGAAATATAGATATACTCATATATCTGAGCATCACTTGACCCACATCATAAATGTTGTTTTGGCACTAGTTGGAAAATAACAAAATGATGTTCAGGGAAGGTCTTTGTATAGAAAATAAGAGGCTTATGATACTTTATACTAATGTTTCATGTCTTTAAAACCTACTTTAAAGGGGCATACATTTGTATTGAAAAGATGGCAGAAATATTGCAACAGATTCAAATGGAGGCTATTGATTCCAAAGTACTCGTGTTTTCCAGTCTCAATACTACTAGCAGATATAGGAATTCAGAGACTGAGATGGAAGATAAAAGATAAGATATGCACTTGTTCAAATCACACAAAGACAACACAAACAGTAACATAGAAATCTGATGTGTTAACTATTTTCAAGAGTAGTATGGAATACCTTGCTGCCATGATCAATTTAGAGCTGATTTTCACCAAAGCTCATTCTGTCTGATTTCCTAAACAGAAAAAAGAATGCAAGAGAGAAAAATTATGTACAAGAGTTTTTATATGCCAAAACACAAAGACTATGCCAATGAAGACAGCAATGAGATGATAAGAAGTATGTTTCCTCTTCTATACTTTTTTATTTGGTGTCAGATTCTTTGCTTACAGGTAGGGTTGTGCCTTCTTGTTACTGGTTAATATTTTCAATGATGAGATCAGGCACATTCAGGGAGGGAGGAGGGGAGAGAGTAGGTATTTGGATTGTTTTTGTTAAGTAATAAAATAAAAATTAAAAAAAAACTTAAAATTGCTTACCTTATTAAGAATTAAATATATTCAATGTTATTATACATATGTAATTACTGGAGCAATAAATTTAAAATCTATCAGAAAAGAATAATATTAATCACTTCTATAGTCATAATTGTGTTGATTTTTAAGTGTACAGATATTTGAACTTTGTTCTACAGCAATATATAGGCCTTGATCCAAGTAATTTTAATTAATAAAAGTGTTATAAGAAACAGAATTCTGCTTTAGTTGTGTATCTCTGTCTTGTTTCTTTTTAGTGACGTTAATGAACACAGTATATTCTGCTTTAAATACACTGCATGGCAGTCATGATCATAAATCTATAAAATCTTAATTTAGGTTCTGTAAAAGCATACATTTAATAGTGTAAGTTATTACAGAAAATTATAGTTAAAAATAAAACCTTAATTTAATAAAATATATTTTAAATGACTCTAAGTTTTTATGAAAAAAATTACAATAACATTCTCATTCCCACAAGGGAACTCAGAGAAAAGAGGAAATAGCATGACTCCCTGAGACTCTGTCAGATGCTAAAATCTGAAGTGAATTATTTCCTTGCAGATACTACAGTGTTTCAAGACTAAAACAGTGGTGCCATACATTTAAAAGAAGTAGAGGTTTCAGAAGCAAGATTTGACTTGCTGCACTGGAGACCATAGCAGGTGACTCAGAACTGTAACACTGCGAATGAACCAGTGTCTGACTTTGCTAATTTCCCTGGACTTGGTCTCATATAGAAGTCAATAGCAGTCTGCTTTGTCTGAGTCAATGTACATTCGGTTTTCGGGTATAAACATGAGCAGCTGAGAGATGTACTATAGCCAGAGCCTGACTAGTAAGGACCAACTATGGTGAAAACGTAATAAGCTCTCCTTGCCTCTGACTGAAGAAGTGTGAGCATTTAAATTTTTCCCGGAACCATGAGGGGAAGTTGTTTTTGAAATATGAACCAATGAGAAGAATGATTTCAATTCCACCAATAGGAACAAATCCTGTGGTAACCTTGGAGATCTTGATCAGAACTGCTGACTCATTTCTCTCTCCCATCTCACTGTGTGGTACAGCTGAAAAAAAAATGAAAGTGAAAGTGGATGACAAGAAAAAATGTAGTTAACCTAGGACCAAATCCAATTTTACAAAACGAAAAGCATCGCAGGTAACGAGGAGATGATCATATATTCCACTTCTTTGGTCTGTATCTTGCCTATCTACCTGAAATTTCCCATTTCTGCCTGCTGACGGCTGATTGTGATTCTTTGCTGCTGATTGCAGCTTACTGTTACCACATTCAGAAATGCCATGTCAGAGTCCCTAATACACTGATTGGGGAATCTGCCGCTTACAATTTTAAAGTTCCCGGATGACTGAGGATATTTCCCCACACTGCAATTATCTTACTGGGCGTCCATATAATCTGTACATCCCCGGGTGTTGTCAGGTATTAACTCTGAAAGTAAATTTTAACTACACAAAATGCAGAATCCAAGACTAACCCAGGAATCACAAATATTAAGGCTGAAGCACTGGCTTCAGAAACTCGAGCATATTTCCGGCACTGCGAACAGGAACAGGTGACTCTTAGGAGGAACATGGAAAATCACA